TTAGTTTTGATGCAAAAACGCATGATCGCACCGGCTCGCCTGGTGCGTTCCAGCCTTTGTTTTTCATCTTCTTTTCATATAAAATCTACGACAGTAACGCATGCTGGAGTTTAAGAATTCATGCGGCTCCTTGACGCAACGCTGTCGTACTAACCGGTGCCTTTTCTCTCATGCCCAGAGGAAAAGGCCATAACACCGACAACACGAGTGCCCATGTTAGATTGTAAAGCAACAGTCATTCATACTGTTAACGATCTGACTGTTTCGAGTCTAATGCAAAAAAAAAAAAAACATGATCGCATTCACAAGTCTGGTTCATTGTTGATTAGGTTTGATATTATGTGAATATCATTCGAAAATTTGTTTTGACCATCTTTTGTCTTACATTCTAGCCATAATAAAATCCGAACTCGTTCCCCCGATATGTATTACTTCGACGATAACACTGCCGACACAGGATTGGAAGCACAGAGTTTCATGGAAGATGTGTTGCAGTTTGTGGACACACACTATACGTCGTTCTGTGACTGTTTGAATCACCACTGACTTCTTTAGCAACGTTGTGTTAAAGGAGTAGTTAGCGGTGATTCCAAGAGGCAGCGGCGTTTCCATGTTTCATCTGCATATAAAATCTTTCTCTACAAAATTTTCAAAGAAAAAGCAATTTCCAGACGTCATACGCGCTGTGTGAAACTAAAGAACGCAGTAGAGATAAGAATAAGTTACAAATACTATATTGCAGTGGCACAATTGACGTAATCAATCCTCTTTTTGTTGCCGAACGTGTATGTGCTGGTGTGGATCAATCGACAGCATGTGAATCACAGTACGTCGATGACTGCAGACACTGGCCCAATCCCAACGTTAATCTTCCGAACGTTACGCAAACGATGCACGAATTGATTGATAGAATTGATTATCTGAGCTGCATACCGCAGAAAAGGTTGGCTTCATTTAATGCAAACTGACTTCAAGGTTGTCTGGACAATCGACATTGAGATTCCGTGTTTCTACTTTCACGCGCTGGGCGCAGCTACCTCAAGCCCTCCGACCATTAGAAAATCGCCAGCCTCAAAAATAAATTTTGCTTGTTTGTTGAATTGGAGTTCTGGGATTGAAAGGAAAAGCTATGAAAGTGGGAAGTCGCAGTAAAAAAGAGTCAAATGCGCAGACGGGTAGTAAAAAGTCAGCTATCTGATTTTGATCAGCAGAGTAGCATAATGACATATGGTCTCATAGATCCGACAAGAAGCTGTAGATGTTCATACTGCAAGGATAGGATATTTGTACAAAATTTGTAATTGACTTTCCACAAAACTCCGACCTAAGGCAGCAAGGTGTGGAAGTGGCAGCGAGTTAAACAGTGTCGAAGCATGGCGGGATACAAACTGTGGCAGCTCCAAACGTGTTGAGA